AACCAGCTCCACAGGCGGCCCCGTCCAGGAAACACACAGCCAGGCAGACGAGCTCCGAGCCAGCTCCCATGTCAGAGGATGAAGAGAGCACATCCAGTTAGTCACAGTCAGAGAAACAGGACTACACTGGAAAACAGGCCAAGCTCCAACATCTAGAAACAAAGGTGTTGATGGCAGCAGCACAGCTGATATTTCTCTCCAGGATGGAGTCACAGCCAAACAGGAACAGACCAGATGAAGCTACTATGAGAAAAAGCAGAGAGAGCAGAATGTTAGAGATTGAACTAACAGATTCTGCAGAGTGGGAGAATAGAGATAGAATGAAGCAGAATGATGAAAAAGGGGTCCCTATGTCCTCCAGCAGTCTAAGCCTATAGCAGCAGAACTTAGACCTAGACAGATTTATTTGTCATTTTGGTTACACAAGTGTAAAACAAAAGAATTTCATTTGAAACAGCTCTCTGGACAATTTCATATTTTTAAAAGTGCAAAAAAAAAAAAGAATATATATATATATATATATATATATATATATATATATATATATATATATATATATATATATATATATATATATATATATATATATATATATATATATATATATATATACAGGTGCTGGTCATAAAATTAGAATATCATGAAAAAGTAGATTGATTTCAGTAATTCCATTTAAAAAGTGAAACTTGTATATTATATTCATACATTACATACAAACTCATATATTTCAGATGTTTATTTTGTTTAATTTTGATGATTACAAATGACAACAAATGAAAATCTCAAATTCATCATATCAGAAAATTAGAATATTGTGAAAAGGTTCAAAATTGATGGCCCCTGGTGCCACACTCTAATCAGCTAATTAACTCAAACCACCTGCAAAAGCCTTTAAATGGTCTTTCAGTCTAGTTCTATAGGCTACACAATCATGGGGAAGACTGCTGACTTGACAGTTGTCCAAAAGACGACCATCGACACCTTGCACAAGGAGGGCAAGACACAAAAGGTCATCGCTAAAGAGGCTGGCTGTTCACAGAGCTCAGTGTCCAAGCACATTAATAGAGAGGCGAAGGGAAGGAAAAGATGTGGTCGAAAAAAGTGTACAAGCAAGAGAGATAACCGCACCCTGGAGAGGATTGTGAAACAAAACCCATTCAAAAATGTGGGGGAGATTCACAAAGAGTGGACTGCAGCTGGAGTGAGTGCTTCAAGAACCACCACACACAGACGTATGAAAGACATGGGTTTCTGCTGTCGCATTCCTTGTGTCAAGCCACTCTTGAACCACAGACAGCGTCAGAAGCGTCTTGCCTGGGCTAAAGAGAAACAGGACTGGACTGCTGGTGAGTGGTCCAAAGTCATGTTCTCTGATGAAAGTAAATTTTGCATTTCCTTTGGAAATCAAGGTCCCAGAGTCTGGAGGAAAAGAAGAGAGGCACTTCATCCACGTTGCTTGAAGTCCAGTGTAAAGTTTCCACAGTCAGTGATGGTTTGGGGTGCCATGTCATCTGCTGGTGTTGGTCCATTGTGTTTTCTGAGGTCCAGGGTCAACGCAGCCACATACCAGGAAGTTTTAGAGCACTTCATGCTTCCTGCAGCTGACCAACTTTTTGGAGATGCAGATTTCATTTTCCAACAGGACTTGGCACCTGCACACAGTGCCAAAGCTACCAGTACCTGGTTGAAGGACCATGGTATCCCTGTTCTTAATTGGCCAGCAAACTCTCCTGACCTTAACCCCATAGAAAATCTATGGGGTATTGTGAAGAAGAAGATGCAATACACCAGACCCAACAATTCAGAAGAGCTAAAAGCCACTATTAGAGCAACCTGGGCTATCATAACACCTGAGCAGTGCCACAGACTGATCGACTCCATGCCACGCCGCATTGCTGCAGTAATACAGGCCAAAGGAGGCCCAACTAAATACTGAGTGCTGTACATGCTCATACTTTTCATGTTCATACTTTTCAGTTGGCCAACATTTCTATAAATCCTTTGTTTTTATTGGTCTTCAGTAATATTCTAATTTTCTGATATGATGAATTTGAGATTTTCATTTGTTGTCATTTGTAATCATCAAAATTAAACAAAATAAACATCTGAAATATATGAGTTTGTATGTAATGTATGAATATAATATACAAGTTTCACTTTTTAAATGGAATTACTGAAATCAATCTACTTTTTCATGATATTCTAATTTTATGACCAGCACCTGTATATATATATATATATATATATATATATATATATATATATATAGAGAGAGAGAGAGAGAGAGAGAGAGAGATAGCTCAGGATAACCTAAGAATTTTTGGTGAGGTAGGAGAATAATTAATATAATGATAGATACATTTAAAAAATAATACATAATAGATAGAATAAAAGAAGCAGAAATGTTTTTGTAGCAGAGATGATTGTGTTTCAGAATACCTTAGCCCTCCATAACAAAAGCAAAAAACCCAGAGAAAATGCACATTGAAGATGATAAAACATCATTAACCATTACTTAACAAGCTCTGTATTAACATGAGCTGAAGGTTCACCCAGAAAAGAAGAAGCCAGGGGACAGACTCTTAACCTCATCAACCTTTTTAAGAAAACTTTGATCCACTTTTGGCCATATATCACCTTTTGTAGTGTTACTAGCCACTTCTCGGGAATAAAATACATTCATAACAATAACAGATTAGGTCAAATATTTCCAAGACAAATATCAAGCTCTAGGACCAAGCGGAAATCAGTAAAGAAATAAAAATGATATTTTTTAGCCCGATAGTCACAGTGCTGTAAGCCTAGCGCCATTCTCCCCGCTTTACAAGCAAAATCAATGGGAACTACTAGACACATAACTCCTTTCACTGTGTTTTTAACATAAATTAATGTAAAAAAAAAAAGAAAACAAAGAAAATCTGTTTAGAATTTTAATGGAGTTCATGACCTACGGGGACATGACTGTAGGGGAGTGCGGCCTAATGCTTAGAGCTGTGCTCTTGCACTCTGAGAAGGTTATAAGTACCCGGATCGATCCCCACAGGTGGGACTCTGGGTTCCTGAGCAAGACCCATAAATCCACACTGCTACCTGGGCGCCACACAGTGGCCCTCAAGGGGAGACCTAATTTCCACATTGTGGGACAATAATACATTTGATTTGACAGCAGGAAAAATATTGCAATATATGGTGATATAGTGATAATATCGTATCGTGAGTAGTGTTGTGCCAATGCCATCTTTCGGCCCCATTACCCCTGGCTGTGCAGCATCGGCATACAGATACCATACAGATACCATCTGTTTGAAATTGATGTGTGTGTATATATGTAGAACTGCATTCTGCTGGGATGTAAAATAATTGCCATCATGGCTTTGTCAAGCTGCTGCCTACCTTTGGAAGCAGGAAAAAGACTAAAACAAAGTGCATCCACTAGAACTTTTTATTGCCTACTGTCATGTTGGGTTCAAGGCGTCTAACCCACATGCAGAAACACTCGTGAGACAGGGAAAAAGTTCAAAGGTTTCTTTACAAAATATACAATGAGTATGAACTGGTCCTTGGTTCGGCAGACAGGTCACGAGGGGAACACCACTGAGGAGGACAGAGAGGTTTGTGTTGATCCAGGTTTACTGCAGGTTTTCTGATGTTGGAGTAAATACCTGCTCAAGGGTGGAACGGAGCTGCAGGGGGGGAAACTTGAGGGTCCAGAGGCTAGTCGGCAGGCAGAGGGCTGAGGGCAGAGGCTTAACTGAGTGCAGGCAGGCAGATTCCAGACAGAGATCACTCTCCAGGATTTCAGGTCTTCAGATAGGACTCAATCTGTGAGGCAGAGAGAAACAGGGTCAGGCAGGTTCACAAAAGTCAGAGATTCAGATCTGGTTGTTTGGCTCAGGTCTAGCTCTACCATTACTGGCAAACACTCTGGCAGGGAAGTGTCAGCCTCCTCCTCCTTAAATAGGGCTTCCTGATGAGCAGATGGAAGACAGGTGTTGCAGTCAGCTCATGCCCCCAGGAGATCTTGTGCGCCCTCTGGTGGAGAAAGTGGACAAAGCCTCCAGATCCCAACACCTACCTGGAATCTGTGACAATAGTTGAATAAACTTCTGGCTCTCAAAATGGTATTGGTGCCCTATTTCTTGGTACTTGCCGATACCGATACTACCCTTTTAGTAGTGGATGGGGGCCCCGCATGACACTGGTATCTATCAGTATCGGTGCAACACTACTTGTGAGCCAAGTATTGTGACAAATATTGTATCACAACAACCACGCCAATACTCTGTCCTAGTTACAAACAGTTCTTAGAAAGCCGTCTCAGTCTGTTCTGACTCTCCAAGCTGCTATTTTTGACAACTGCCTCCATGGTTCATAAGACTGAAGGAAGTAAAACTCCATTAAGATCATTTTCTTTTCATGTCCCTGGATAATTTCAGATTGATTTAGTTAGAACTGAGAATGTCCCAATGTCTCTATTTCCCAATTCATAGAATTGGGAAATAGAGGTCATAGCATTTAGTCTGGAGGAACATTACTGTAATTGAGAAAGCAAACAATTCTTGGCCGAGCGTCTTTAACGTGGCCATGATGACAGAGAACATGGACAGAATTGTAACAAGACTTGTGTTGATGTTAATAAAAACAAACAGTCATGTTGCCTCATTTAACGTATCGCCTTCTACGGCAATACATGGGTTTAAAGGACACATGACATGTACACATGCTCAGGTGTCACTATTAAAGGACACACCTTCAGGGAGGGTAATTTGCATGTGAATGAAGCTTAATGTTGTTATAACAGCTTGAATAATTCATCAGCATGGTGACCTTGCAGAGTCACCGACACATGGCTGGATCTGAAACGCACAAATAAAACTGGGTTTAAAGCACAGTGGATCGACAAATTCATACCTCCCATAATGCTGCAGTATTAAGGCTTGGTATTTATGTACTTTTTTATTTCGTTCTGTTATCTGACTGACCTTTGTGTGGCTGTGTAGGTTTGCGGCCAGTGGACAGTGAGCTGTGTTCAGGGGTTCCTCCAAATACCACCCAGCTGTGCCACATAAGCTGTCCTGTGGACTGTGAGGTGTCTCCGTGGAGTGCTTGGGGTCCCTGCACCTATGAAAACTGTGAAGACCAAAGCAATAAGAAAGGTAAGAACTTACTGGATAATATTAGGCTTTATTCTCTTTAAATCTTACAACGTTTCTGCTCATATTTGTTTTGATTTTACTGACTAAAGCATGGTATGTTATGGTCTTTCAGTGTTAAGACTTGTAGGGGGCGGTTCTTTAAAGATTCAACATAAAGATCTTAAATTTTGTGTGCAGAAGGAAGGTGACACAACCTGGATCTTTTCTTCTCAGTTTTAAAAGCTGAAAAACTGCTCCTGCAGTCAAATTAAGGTTTGATTAATGACGTTTCGGTGCTAAATGTTTTATCTTAAAATCCTAAAACCGTTAATTTGTGTTGTTTGGTCTTTGGTCAATAGAGGACGATTCGTTTGTCCATCCATCCCTTCCTCCCTCCCTCCATTCGTCCATCCATCTGTCTATCCTCCCTCCGTGCGTCCATCCACCCGTCTGTCCATCCCTCTCTCCGTCCGTCCATGCCTCCTTCCATCCGTCCGTCCGTCCATCCATCCCTCCCTCTGTCCATCTGTCCCTCCGTCTGTCTTTCCATCTGTCCATACATCACTCTTTCCATCCGTCCGTCCGTCCTTCCATCCCTCTCTCCGTTCATCCATCCCTCCTTCTGTCCATCTGTCCCTCCGTCCGTCCATCCATCTGTACATTCATCACTCTTTCCGTCAATTCGTCTGTCCATCCATCCCTTCCTCCCCCTATCTATCTGTCCATCAATCCATCCATCCATCCGTCCGTCCGTCCTTCCATCCCTCTCTCCGTTCATCCATCTATCTGTCCATCCTCCCTTTGTGCGTCCATCCACCCGTCCGTCCATCCCTCTGTGAATCCATCCCTCCATCCGTCTGTCCGTCCCTATGTCAATCTCTCCCTTCGTCCGTCCCTCCATCAGTTTGTCCCTCCGTCCACCTGACCATCCCTCCCTCCCTCCGTCCCTCCCACACTCAGACACACTCACATTAAGAGTCACCAGTCAAGAGACAAAAGAATTGTATTAACTTAAAGTGGAAACATCTGCGGTCACAAAAATTATTTGACTATTGAAATGCTCATTAGGATTTCTACATTGTGTTTTGAGATAATTGTTTGCTATGGTTACATATAACTTGTAGTAAACAGCAGTTACAATTACATCAAATTTAACGGTTGGTTCCACAAACAGATTATTTGGATTTAATACCCAAACAGCTCTCCCACTCTGTCAGTTATTGTAGTAGGAATGTGTGGTATTTTAGAACAATAAATCAAAGTTAGTACCTTTGACTAAGCTACTGAGCAAAGTGGAAAAAAAAAAAAAAAAAAAAATACTGGAAGTGAAATTCCAAAAAGTTGGAGTTAAAAAAATCCCCGCTGGGCTTTGCTTTCCAAGTCTGAATATGTTTTGCTTCCCATTTAGGAAGTTTTCTCAATTCAAAATGTCTGGATTAGCATTGAGTTCCAGGTTTTTATAGATTAGCCCAACAAAACCTTGTAATAGCTTAGAAAACATTCGCATTGAAACTGGAAAAGCAGCTCCACCTTTTAATAATTTTCTAAGCCACTACAAGGCTTTTGTTGGGCTACTCTAAAAAAGCTTATATTTAAAAGAGAAAAATCACAGAATGATTGAAGCACCAAATTATACACTATTCACCCAGATTAGCTCCTATGTGTTGTTTAGAAAGCAATGTGTTCTATGAGAGTTTGGAAATAAGGTCAGATTAGCGCTGTAGCTAACAAGATCAACATTTGCTAAGTGTACAGACATCAGCTCAAAATGCAAAGCAAAAAGCTAAATAAAAATATAATAGACATTTTATTTGGAGGTAGGAACTACCAAGAAGCTGATGGAATCACAATGGACTCAAAATCGAAGAGATTGTTTTTAGGAATTTCTTTGAAACTGGATGTAGGAAAGAACACTGCTCAAAAGAATACAATGACCACTCAAATAAAGCCGGGCGTACACTGTGCGATTTTCCAGTTGTGCGAGAATCTTTCGATCGGGCCGACTTTCAGCCTGATCGTGCGTCGTGAGTCATATAGTGTACAGGGGGTAACGAGGGGCGATCAGCCTCTCACAACTACCTCCCGATCAGGAATCGTGAGGTAGGGAGAAAATCAAACATGTTTGATTTTCTCCCTACCGTCATGGGCAAATCGCTCAGGGCGCAAACAAGGATTCTTCTTTTTCTTCTTCCTCTCAGATGTAAACCCAGAAGCGTGGCAGGGATGCAATGAGTGAAATGGAGTTCTTTCTGTAAAATTGACGTGTAGCCACGTTTGCTAGGCCGTGTCTTTGTCCAAATACGTCTTCATCTTGTCTTTTTAGGGCTTTCAGCACAAATTGCACAAATTGCACAAATAGCCAAGGCAGCGCGTTTCACTCTAGTGAGCTTCATATTCCTCTTCTATTTGTTTGGCTTCCTGATAGATGAGTCAGTGAGCTCCATCTCATTTGCGGAGCTGAGTCCGACGTGGTTTTTAGTCATACAGTGTGAGCAGGTAGATCGCATCAGAGTGTCGTGCTGGACATTCATCGTGAGCTGTGAGCTCAAACTGTACAACTAAACCCTGCAGTTTACTCGTACAGTGTAGCTGTCGTACAGTAGCTGCGTGCAGCGATATAAAGAATCGCACAGTGTAAGCCCAGCTTAACACGTCCTAAATCTGAATGAATGTAATATTCTAATTGAATAATTTGTTCTGTAAAAAGTTGAATTTGCTGACAACAGAAAAATAATCAATGGAAATCAATGCATTAACCAGTGGAGGCCTGGGAATTAAAGTGGAAAGATACACTCCAGGCTGATCCAAATATGATGTAATGTCCTTAAAACAGATCAGAATTAGGCTCAGTATTGTGTGTGACCTTCACCTGCCCCTATGACCTCCCTACAATGCCTGAGCTGGACGTGGTGGAGGATTTCCTGAGGGATCCCCGCCCAGACCTGGAGTGAAGCATCCTCCTCGTCCTGGACAGTCTGTGGAGGATGGATGGAGACATGATGTCCCAGATGAGCTCAGTGGGATTCAGGTCAACGGTCTGAGGGGGTGACAGCATTGTCTCCAGACTCTGCTGTCACCTCTGTCACTGTGCGCAGTGTGAACCTGCTTTCATCTGTGAAGAGCAGAGAAGTGGAGAATTTGCCAATCCATGTGTTTTCTGGTGAATGGCAAGCTTATTGCATGGTGTTGGACTGTGAGCACAACCCCCATCTGTGGACATCGGGCCCTCATGCCATCCTCATGGAGTTGGTTTCTAACCGTTTGTGCAGACACACGCACATTAGTGGCCTGCTGGAGGTCATTTTGCAGGGCAGTGCTCCTCCTGTTCCTCCTTGCACAAAGGCAAAGGTAGCAGTCCTGCTGCTGGGTTGCTGCCCCCCTACAACCTCCAATTCTCCTGGTGTAATGTCTCCTAGTTGCACCTTCATCCTCTGGTGCCATCTTGGCTGAGATGCACTTCCTATAGTTATATTGTGTTGTTTACTGATTCCTTTTATTTTCTGGAGCAATGTAGGCTATAAGAGTGAGCAGGCTTCTCAGCAGAGGGCAACAGCAACTGTGAGGAATCTCATTTACTTCAAAGGAAGAGGATACTGAATGTCTAATGAAGTAAACACATTAAATAGGCGCTATACCTCAGAGGTAAGGAGGGGGTTAATAATAAATAGACATGGCTTTTTATTTCAGCTGGCACGGCTCTGCCATGATGGAAACTTATAGCAGGGGAACAAACATGATTGTTAAACCTATTCTTTGTGTAAAACTTGACTTTCTATTCTAAAATATTCCCTAGAAAGGCAGAATGCATGATTCTGGAAGCATCACCACTTCAGTCATAATTACCCCCTGAAGCTGCAGCAGCTACCATGACTAATGCATTTTGACTCTGCTTTAATGAATTGCTTTAAATGAAAGATCGTTGGAAATTCTCCTCCATGCATCTTAATGATGGATCCACTTGCTCATTTCTTCACTGCGCTGCTTCCACCCCCCACCCCACCCCCCCACATACACACAAACACAGACTTTGATATCTGACTAGCCTTGCTCCAAGTACTTACTCAAACATGGGGAAAAAAGTGTTTCCTACTGGCCTCATTAAAGGAATAGTACACCCAAAACATGATAAGCCTTCATTTTCTACTCACCTCCATGCTGAACAACACTCTGGAGTACTTTTTTGATATCTCAAATGCATCTGGAGATCTGGGAGACTTCTTGCTGTCTGCTGACATTCAAATAATGGAGGTCTATGGCGCCCGAGACAGAAAGGTCCACAAAAGTCCACAAAAACTTGTCAATATTCCTCCATAATGCTCGTCCAATGTAATCCAAGTGTCCTGAGTGGGTAGCATCCAGAATTTACTCGAAACGAAGTCATTTAGAACGTTTTAGAGCCTAAACAGTAGTGTATAGGATTTCCTAATAGCGCCCCCATGCGCGCTCACGATTCTACGGAAGCCGGCAGACCAAACCAGCGCATTCAGCTCGGCAAAGAACTCATGCTCTTCCTCAACACTGAAGTCCTCAGACATTTTTCTTTCGTTGTTTCTTTCTTTGCACAGGTAAACAGCACATTTTTATTCTTCTACGCTTGCATTATCGGCAGACCAGACGCTGAATGCGCACTTCCTTCCGGTTTGGTCTGCCGGCTTCCGTAGAATCGTGAGCGCGCATGGGGGCGCTATTAGGAAATCCTATACACTACTGTTTATGCTCTAAAAACATTCTAAATGACTTCGTTTCGAGTAAATTCTGGATGCTACCCACTCAGGACACTTGGATTACATTGGACGAGCAGTATGGAGGAATATTGACACGTTTTTGTGGACTTTTATGGACCTTTCTGTCTCGGGCGCCATGGACCTCCATTATTTGAATGTCAGCAGACAGCAAGAAGCCTCCCAGATCTCCAGATGCATTTGAGATATCAAAAAAGTACTCCAGAGTGTTGTTCAGCATGGAGGTGAGTAGAAAATGAAGGCTAATCATGTTTTGGGTGTACTATTCCTTTAAGGCTT